AAAATGTTGAGTTGACTTTGTGGAGAGATAATATATGTGAAGTTTTTAGAGCTGAGGGGAAGTTCTACATTTGCTGAGTGGCAGTGATAGCTTTTCTGATTATATTTTGTTTTGTAGCTCACAGCGTTCCTGTAGAATATGATGTATCACCTGCATTGCGGCCACAGTTGTCACCTCCTACAATTATATTACCAGATACTGACTATGATACACCACCAGCACCAAGGCTAGCTTTGTCACAAGAGAACCATGATCCTGTAAGTTTATTTGTTCACTTTTTATTAACTCCGCTGTCATCGAAGATGACTGATCGGAGCTCATGGGTTGACCACAACTTTATATTTCAGGAGGTATGTACGACCTAGAAAATATCACCTGTACTCGCTACAAATATCACTCGTACTTGCTACAAATATCACCCGTACTCGCTATTTTCTGAAAAGTACACCACATACTTTTCATCGTCAACTCAACATTACAATCAGGCCAGTGTATGCGGATAACATTGCGAAGGTCGCAAATAAATGCAGCTTGAACTACTATTTCCATGTAGTGCTTTTTGTTTATTATTCATTTGAGTGTTTATATCAAAAAAACACCTATTTACTATGATAAAACGCATTTGAACGTACGTTATTGTACACAAGTGAATCCAGCTGTTGATCAAACTGGCATTCCTGTAGTACTGAGGTCCCGTACCCATTTTAATGAATTATGTTAACCAATCGCAAATGATTCATTTCACCCCTTGCATACACCCGTTTTCCTGGCCTTTGTTTTACCACTCGCAAACAACACATTTGACCCCTCGCATAGGCCTTTTGTGCCACTCGCAAATGATACATTTTACCACTCGCATATGCCGTTTTTACCACTCGCATATGGCATATTTTGCTACTTGCAACTCGCAAATTGGTAGTCGCATATGGCATATTTTCTAGGTCGTATACACCTCGTTTCAGCTTCAAACTTCCTGTACACTCACATCATCAATTATACATATCCGTGCATTACATACACATACGTTTCCTCTTACGGGATATGCCCTTTCAGTGATGATGGCCACAATTACTAAACTGTCATAGATTCCTCATCTCCTATCAACCTAGTAACTGTCACTGCCCTCTGCACTTGTCAATAACAGCGGAGCTCCACCAGCCGCAAGGTCGCTTGTTCTGACTGATTGAGCTCTGGTAGCATAATGACAGTGATTGTTCAACTATATTTTTTATTACATTTAATATAGAATACAGAAATTCAAGCAGTGACTGATGACCCAATGTATTCTGTGCCACATAAATCCAAAAAGAAAGCTTGTGAGCCTACAGTGACAGAGCATTCTACAGAGTGTAGTGGTAACGCTGCTGAAGCACTCACTGCAATAGAGACATTACTCAATGAAGGATACTCAAGGGATGCTGTCATCAGAGCCTTAGGAATAGCTCAAAATAATATCACCATGGCTAGAAATATTTTACGTGAATTTGCACCATCTCATATTCGCTAAATTGTTTTGCTGAATTATAGAGTGCGGTTTTTTAAATCATGTAATTTTGATTATCCCATTTGATATGTGATGAATGCTGGTCACAGTGTGACTGTACATTTCTACATACATGAAACATGGTATTGTGATACTGTTTAACAGCACATATATACTCATATATCATAATTTTTCTGCATGGTCCCTCACACAGGTCATTACAATTCCTATATACGCTATACAGAAACAAGAAACATTCCAAGCACTAAAATAAAACAATTAGGTTACAGTGTAGGTAATTGTTGCTTAATGCAATATAAATAAATATACATGTAATGTATACATACTAGTTATATTAGAACAAACATGTATACACTGTGATCACCTGGAATACTTGACACTAGCTGTGGTTATATTAGAACTAACATGTATATACTGTGATCACCTGGAATACTTGACACTAGCTGTGGTTATATCAGAACTAACGTGTATACACTGTAATCACCTGGAATACTTGACACTAGCTGTGGTTATATCAGAACTAACATGTATACACTGTGATCACCTGGAATACTTGACACTGGCTGTGGTTATATTAGAACTAACATGTATACACTGTGATCACCTGGAATACTTGACACTGGCTGTGGTTATATTAGAACAAACATGTATACACTGTGATCACCTGGAATACTTGACACTAGCTGTGGTTATATCAGAACTAACATGTATACACTGTGATCACCTGGAATACTTGACACTGGCTGTGGTTATATTAGAACTAACATGTATACACTGCGATCACCTGGAATACTTGACACTAACTGTGGTTGTATCAGAACTAACATGTATACACTGTGATCACCTGGAATACTTGACACTAGCTGTGGTTATATTTGAACAAACATGTATACACTGTGATCACCTGGAATACTTGACACTAGCTGTGGTTATATTAGAACTAACATGTATATACTGTAATCACCTGGAATACTTGACACTAGCTGTGGTTATATTAGAACTAACATGTATACACTGTGATCACCTGGAATACTTGACACTATCTGTGGTTATATTAGAACTAACATGTATACACTGTGATCACCTGGAATACTTGACACGAGCTATATTTCAGTTGTCATCACATCTGATTGTAGACTGTAGATTCACTCGATCACCGAAATCACACATTGCTGAATTTGAATTACTTGATACAGTCCGGTCAGAATTCATTGAAACTTTTGTGATATGAGTTAGGAAATGTGCATGTCTATTGAGCCTTCATATGTTTGCCAATGTCTAACTGTATGACAGTATTCATTGCCATTGGCAGCAAGGTGCTTTTGTGGACAAGCACATGTTTGATATCTGCATTGCCAAGCTGAAATTTCACATCAGCATAACATTTTTTCTGTTTTATTTATTCTGATTTATAGAGAAATAAAATAGCAAAGAATGATTCTGCCTAGATATGTCATGAGGATGGATTATTTTTGTTTACTTTTAGAATGGCAGCACATGGCTGCTCAGTGAAACTATAGTACTTGTCAATCCTGATCACGCTGACCATCATTATGTGTAATATTTTTACTGTTGACAACAATTCCCTTATTAAGAAATTCATTCTACTTTTTTGAAGTACAAGTTTTTGTTTGATAGACACAATATTAACTTTTCTAAATCTTCAGTAATTACACATTATACCTCTTGAACTTGATGCTTCAGCCACACCATGCCGTCTCCACCCACACCATGTTATATCTACCCATACCATGTCATATCTACCCACACCATGCAGTCTCTGCCCACATGTCTCCATGCCCACGTCTTCACCCACATCATGTCTTCACCCACACCTTGCTGCCTTCACCCACACCTTGCTGCCTTCACCCACACCTTGCTGCCTTCACCCACACCTTGCTGTCTTCACCCACACTTTACTGTCTTCACCCACACCTTGCTGTCTCCACCCACACCTTGCTGTCTCCAGCAACATCAAACCGTCTCCATTCACAGTGACACCAAGATATTTTCAACCACACTGTTCTTGAATGTGGGTCTGCCTGCATGAATTTTATTCAAAATGTGTGCATTCATTGTACACCATTAAAAAAAATGTGTACATATATCACTGTTCAATTATATTGATGGACTGCAATGTATCCATGTCTGTCCATGACTATCTTTGTACCCGTTAATTCTTTGACCCCAATTAATCAAATTTAGTATTAAATTGAAATATTGAAAATGATAGTAAGTTTTTCATTTGAGTTCAAAGTTTCTTGTAGGAAAACAATACGACTTGTAATGATTTCAAATCCAGCAATATTTAGCGACTGGAAAAGCATGATTTAAACTCAACTATGTATATAATGATGTATAGTGCCAATAACTCATTTGTACATTTTACATAGCTGCATTAGTTATTAAAAAAACATGTATATACTTTAGATGTATTTGTTAAGTCAAGTGCCTTAATTTTTCACACAAACATAATCCAGAACTAGCGTTGTAGTATTCATTTACACTGGCATTATTTTTGCATTTTCATTTTTCATCATTTTTGTATTTTATTTGCTTTGGTATATATTTATCCCATGTGAGCACCATGTAAATGTACTGCAAAATCTGAGTGATTTTTTTTTTCACACTCCACACCATATGCAGATGATTACCATGAATTGATTCCATCATTTTAGAAAATAAAAGCACTCTAAATGCTGAATAAATGTTTATTTATATAAATATTTGGAAACAATACATAAATTTAAAATGAAGGTTGAAAATAACAAATTAACATCTAAGCCAATATGTGACACATCACTGACACTCAGAAACTTGTCATGCTCATTCCTTGGTGCACCCATCAACACAGGAAATCAAACTTGATTTTTTGAATTCCATTTGTTACTCTACAAAATCAGTTCTTTTAGAATGCACACTGTCGGTGTCCATGTATAATTCTACAGCATTTAGTTTGACTCATTAATGTTGTTCCTGCTGCATGAACAACTTAACCATTCTGTACCAAACTGTAGTGACAATACTACCATTAACATTTTATGGGATTTATTTTCTATATATATCATCCATGATTGATGTGATGAAAACTACTTCTGATTTGAATGTAGTGTGGGGCTCTGCCGGGGTAAATGTGTGATAAATATTATAAAAATGTTCATGGCTTTCTGGAATGCTTAACAGTTCACTTTCAAAGTGAAAATATTTTTTTTTTTTTTTTTTTTAACTGAGTTAGAAGTGACAGAGGCGCACAGTTTTTGAGAAAGTTAAAAATTTCTTTCAATAGTTACCAAACATATTTACACGCAAGATATTTTTTAGAATTTTTGCAGCAAACATTGAATAATTAAAAAATAAAAATTAATGGTCATCTCTTTTTGTATGCTTCACCACGGCATGCTTCAATACAGTATTGCTTATATAAGGTAGTGTTTTTTTATATCTGTAATGTATACAGAATTCATTTAATCTTACAAATGTATTGTAGGCATAATTCATAATCAAGTACAATTTGAATTTGTAAATATGTGTGAAAATTATCCTTCATTGTTCTGTGCATTGTAACAATTCTTTTTCCATTTATAGATTTACTTTGTAAATCCCATACTGATAGCAATTATGTTAATTTCATATGTACTTGATGGGTGGATCTTTCTTAGTTTTTTTTTAGTGAAGCTCAGCTCGCAATCATGTTTTTCTATTTGTATTAATTCATCCAAATGGTGATGTGAGATGACCAAACTATTCATGTCTCCTCCTGTAACAGCAACATTGCGATGTGTCTTGCTGTTTGTCATGTAGTGATGGGAAGGCTACCAAAGTGACATAAGTTTCACTGTGCTGTGTCTTGTAATCGGAAGGCTACCAAAGTTACATAATAAGCTACACTGTGCTGCTTCCTGCTACTTATGTCACTAATGGAAATACTACCCAAATTAACATCAGCAGCATCACTGCGCCATCTCCTGCTTCAAGTGGGGTTGATAGTGTCACAAAAGCTACCATATAGACATATTCAGCAACATTTTAATGTGCTAGCAGGTAGATAATGTCATCAATGG